CCACAGTTCAAAAGCATCAATTCTTCGGCGGTCAGCTTTCTTTATGGTCCAGCTCTCACTTCCATACGTCACTACAGGAAAAACCATAGCTTTGACTATGCGGACTTTTGTTGGCAAGGTGATGTCTCTGCTTTTTAAGATGCTGTCGAGGTTTGTCATCGCTTTCCTCCCAAGAAGCAGGTGTCTTTTAATTTCGGGGCTGCTCTCTCCATCTGCAGTGATCATGGAGCCCAAGAAAGTAAAATCTGTCACTGCCTCCATATCTTCGCCTTCTATTTGCCAGGAGGTGATGAGACTAGTGGCCATGATCTTAGTTTTTTTTATGTTGAGTTTCAGACCGTTTTTTGCACTCTCCTCTTTCACCCTCATTACAAGGTTCTTTAATTCCTCCTCACTTTCTGTCATCAGAGTGGTATCATCTGCATATCGGAGGTTGTTGATATTTCTTCCAGCAATCTTAATTCTGTCTTGGGATTCCTCCAGTCCAGCCTTTCGCATGATGTATTCTGCATATAAGTTAAATAAGCCGGGGGACAATATACAGCCTTGTCGTACTCCTTTCCCAATTTCCCACCCTTTTAATACCTAAACATTCACCCCAAGTGAACATGAGGCCTGTACAGAAGCTCCTCCTGTATACCATATCACTACGTGTGTGGAAAAGCTGAAAGCAGTTGACTTTGATACTAGTAAGCAGTTGACTTCGATACTGTGACCATCTACAAACAGTAGATTTGCAGCATTGTTCTTCCCACAGTTATATACCTTAGCTAGTTGTTTCATATTTGGGGAAGGAAACAGAGCTCTTTTACCTCTTGCAAAAATAGAAGAGTAGAATGTATCAACTTCCATTTGGAATGAAAGTTAAAATACAAGAAGGATGTACTGCCTGTGTTTTGAATGAGGAGAGGAGGTTCGATGTACTAATGTGCCTGTGTTTTGAATGAGGAGAGGAGGTTGATCTGTGATCCAAACGTCTTGGATATACAGCTACAAACATACTGTTCTGGTGTAAATCAAAGTTTTTTTCTCTCTTTATGGAATATCTCTTGAGATTGAATTGCTCAAAGCATATCTTCCCTACATTTTGTGGTACAGTAAGTTCATCCCCAGGCATTGTGGTTTCATTTTCGGATACTGGGTGTCCCTGCCTTAAGATGCCCACTCAGGTTCCCGGTTGCATCAGATTGTCTTGACAAAATTCCATGCCTTCTCCTTCATCCAGTGAAATGGCAAAGCAGCATAAAATTTCTTACAGTCTCCGGTCATGATTCAGTGGTTAGGGCTGCACAACATCTTTAAGCTGTGTTGTTGCCACGTTACAGCATTTTCTCCTCCTTTCCTTAGACCTCATTCTCATGGAGGTAGTGGACTTATGTCTCTATAATTTCAAACCACAGAGGCAGAAACTGCTTAGTTGAGACATAGGGTTACTACCTGATTGAGAAGATCTTAGGCTCAAGAAGCTAGTATGCCAGGAATTAAATGAAGTCATTCAGTGCCAGGAGCACTTGTCAGCTGTGATGAGGGCATCCACCAACTAACTGAACACACCCAAGAAAATGGTCTGGCACCTGTCCTTATGAATGCAACATCCTAGATTGCATACTGTATCTCCACTGAGGAATTTTTTTTTATGCACATGTTTCAAATGAGCATGTAAACAATTAGCAAATCATTATATCTTGACAATATCCCTGATTGCCAGATAAATGTGGTGGTATATATTGAATCCCATATTTTCCTGATCTAGGGCTGAGTTTTACCAGAATAATTCTCTTTGCCTTAAAATGTACTTGGGAATATACTGGTATCTGTACCAATGAGGTTGTTCTCTGTAGAGGGAATGTGAAAACAGACTTGTTCAAAACCCCTCCCGCTGTTCACAGCTTTGTCAAAGTCTTTGCAGCAACATTGTTTTAAAAACAAAACCAGGTTCCTTTGTGGCTTTGTTTCACATGGCTCCATTTCACACTGCAGCAGTTTTGCCTTATCTGGGTCTATCTGTATACCACACAGCCTGTTCCCTGAAAGAGAGTACAGAGAGGCTTCGGATTAAAGAGAGAAAGCTTTATCTTGCCATCAGTGCTACAGGCTATGTAGAAACACCAACCAATGTTCAGTGCAGGATATGGATAAAGATATACTTAATATGTAACCTGTTAATCTAGTCTTCGAGGTGAACTTTGCTATGCAGAGAGAGTTACAAATGCTCTGAAATTTCCTTATCCAGGAATGGTCTATTTCAAGGGATGTAGTTGTCAGACATGGAGTCTGCAGCTCTTGTCATCCCTCACCATTATCCAAGCTGGCAAGGGATAATAGAAATTGCTGTCCAGCCACATCTCCAAAATGACAAGTTGCCTGACTGTGCTGTATGTCTAGCTCTCTCAGATTAATGAGGAAACTAGACCTCTCCATAGGAGGAGGAAGTTGTCCAGTGCCTGGGGTTAGCACAGCTTCAGTCTTGCTTTCTGCCTTCTGTGTAGGAGGAGGATGAGAGGAGAAACAGCTCTTTTCTAGATAGCAGTTGCCTCTTCTGGCTAGAAGCAGGTCTCTGTGTTCTCAGGCTGTCATCTTTCTCATTTTTATCATGCCCCTGATGAGGATTACATATGAGTCAGATCTGGCAGGTGCCTCAGGTGCTGAATCTTGTAGGAGAAAATAAGAGGTGTCCTGGATCAAAGCCATAACCTGTCCAGAATTCGTCTCCTGTAGTGGCCCGTCAGATGCCCATAGGAATTATACAAGCAGGACGTGAGTGAAAGTGTTTTCCTTCTGATGTTTCAAAGCAAATACTGTAGTATTAACACTGCCTCTGAAACTAGGGCCCTTGTGACTAGTAAGTAGCCAACACCAGTGATAATCATATTGCAACCACAGCCATTGGTAACCTAGTCCCCCATGCTTTCTCAAGAACTGTTTCTTCCTTTATGAGCTTCTCCTGCTGTTAAGATCATCAGGGGAGGCCTTTTTCTCCATTTCACCACATTCACAAGTGTGTTTGATGGGGGCACAGAAGAAAGCTTTCTCTATTGCTGCTCCCAAACTCTGGAACTCCCTCCCACAGGAGGCCAGACTCGCTCTGTCTTTGTTGTCCTTCCAGAAGCAGGAAGGACAACTTCTCTTCAGGCAGGCCTTCCCTTAGTGACTGGCTTTCTGAGAGGGTTGGTTTTATTTATTTATTTATTTTTTGAAATGTTCTTATGCCTTGTTGCTTTTAAATGCATTTAAGTACTGATTTTATTTACTATATTTAATACATTTGCTTAATTCCTTTTAAAATATTTGTACATTTACTGTTTTTAACTTTTAAATATTGTCTTTTTAAAGATGTATGCTGGCTTGGGTCCCTTTTTAAGGAGAAATGCAGGTTAAATATTTTAAAGAAATAAATAAAATCCTCTGTGAGCTGTGCAAGTATACCAAGAATTATTATAAAAATGTACATGTGTCAAGTAAGACCAAGTCTTATAAGCATCTGCAAGAGCTGATCTTGGAAATTGTTCTCAGGCTTTTCATGCTGACTATCACTATTACAGGCCTGAGTGAACACAGGCATTTTGTTTCATTTCAACTGAGTTGTGGGAAACCAGCGTCTTTCATTTTCCTCTTTCCTTGTGTTCTTCAGCGTGAGAATTTGATGAGGGGGCAGCGTGAAGAGGAGGAGAGGCTACTACAGGCCATTCCTCTGTTCTGCTTTCCAGATGGCAATGAATGGACACCACTCATGGAATGCAACAGGTAGCCAGAAGTTAGTGAGGATCTGGTACTCTTGTCACACATTAAGAAACAAAAAATGACATACTTATGCTTTGACTGAACACAAAAGTTCCAGCTGGCATCTTTTCACACTGGACATTCTTCCCCTCCACCCCCATTAAGAGTGTACCATGTACAACAATGTTGTAATCCTGATTCTGCTTTAGCCGCTCTTGATGTTCAAGGAGTGAATTTGTAATGCTGTTTTGCAAAGGACTGGAGTTGAATATACAGTGCTGCCCCATTTGACGACGATAATCCATTCCAGCAAAATCGCTGTAGAGTGAAATCGTTGTCAAGCGAAAGTAAAAAAACCATTAGAATGCATTAAAGTCAGTTAATGTATTCTAATGGGGGAAATACCTCATCATCCAGCGAAGATCCTCCATAGGGTGGCCATTTTCTGGTGCCTGTAAAGCGAAGAATCCGTCCTAAACACAGTGGGGAGCCATTTTGCACAGCGGGTGGCCATTTTGCGACCAGCCGATCAGCTGTTTTAAAACCATCTTTAAGTGAAAAATTAGTTCCCAAAGCAGGGAACCGATCATCGTTAAGCGAAAAAACGCTTTTGAATCATCGTTTTGTGATCGCAATAGTGATTGCAAAAAACTCATCGTAAAGCGGATTCGTCCTGAAGTGGAGTAATCATCAAGCGGGACACCACTGTAACTTCAATGCATCTGAAGGACAACTGGTTGGGGAAGGTTGCCACTAGATTATGTGCCCCCAAAACATGACACCTGTACCCCCATTTGAATGGCTAAAGGTTATCTCCTTAAAGATCTTCAAATGAATATTGCTTTGATAGCTTCATTGCAGTAATCCTGGACCTATATTGTGTAGAGTTCTCCTATGACACTTGGCTGTTAAAATCATACTTTTTTTCCTCTCCTTTCCAGTGAAACATTTTCATTTGTCCTCACCAATGTGGATGGGAGTAGAAAGATTGGCTACTGCAGGCGGCTGTTGGTAAATATTTTTCCTCTTCTTTTCTCTTCCCTTTTTAAATTTTCCTGATTTTAGATAATTGAGCCAACATACAGTGGTGCCTCGCTTAATGGGTGCTCCGTTTAGCGACCAAACAACATAGCGATTAAGTTTTTGCGATCGCAAAAGCGATCGCATTGTGATGTTTTAAATGAGTTTTTTTTTGCTTTCCGATGATCAGTTCTGTTTCGCTTACTGATCATCGCAAAGCGTGATCAGTTCTATTTTGCTTACCGATCATCGCAAAGCGATGATTTTTTAACAGCTGATTGGCAGTTCCAAAATGGCCACCGGGTTAAAAAATGGCCGCCTGCTGTGTGTAGGGACAGATTCCTCGCTTAAGAGGCAGCGAAAATGGCCGCCGTATGGAGGATCTTCGCTTTAAGGTGAGTTTTAAGCCCATAGAACCGCATTAAACAGGTTTTAATGCGTTTCTATGGGCTTTTTAAAATCACATAGCGACGAAATCGCTTAGCAGCGATTTTTGCTGCATGGATTAACATCGCTATGCGAGGCACCACTGTATTTCTTGAAGTCAGAAACAACTCTAGAATGATTCTTTATTGTACAGCTGTAGGAATAGTTTGCACCCTCATTAAGAGTTCCAAGAGAAGAAGGTGTTGAAGAAGAAGGGGTGCCCTTGGACTATCTGGCTGGTGAGCAGAGATTCTGGGTGTTTTCGTCCAGTAGCATCTGGGGACTCAAGATAGGGAGCTACTGTCAGAGAGGGCAGGGATGTCCTCTAAAGTCTCCTTCCAAGGAAGTTGATGGTTGAAAGCTCTTCATCATTCATGTGTGAAAGCTCTTCATTGTTCTTTTTAACAGTTTTATATTACCGTTTGTACATATTGCATGTTTGTGTGTATCTTGATTTAGGTCTGAACTTTAGCATATTTCTAGACTACTCTTCTAAAATGAAAAACTCAAAGTGGTGTTAAATAAGTGCAGCAGTGTTTGCATCAGGTACAGAGTGAACTGGAGTGCAGTGGACTGATAGTCTGGTGGCCTTGGGTGACTTGTCCATTCCTTCCATTTTTGCTAGGAAATAATTGTTCTCAATTGTAAACCTAGTGAACAAACTCAGAATGTATCAGGCAACTGGCAAGGAAAATAGTATCCTTATGGACTTCTGTAAGCTTGTTGCCCTTAACAGTTACCTAAATTGCCCCTATACAAAAATGCCAAGCTAGGCATTTGGGGGGGCTGAACTGGCTTTGTCCCTTATCTAGACAGGTCTTTGTAATACATAGATATGAATGATGATCTATTTTGGACTGCTTTCCAGTGTTTTAATTTAAGTCTCAACTTTAATTTATTTCTAAATTCAGTATTAAGACTCGAGGATGACAAATTCAGCCAAAGGAGCCATAGAGTTCTATAAATAGAATATCATGGACGAACTTGACTGGTGCCTCCATAAAACTTGCAAGGGAGTTCTCTCTAGGTCATGAAAATGGCCAGATACTCTTTCATTGGGCTGTTAGGAGGAACTGGAAGAAATTTTATGAAAACTACTAGAGTCTGCTCCAAAATGTGTGAAGCAAGGATTAGTTGGATTTTTCAACATGAGTAAAAGATGGGAAATTTCTCTCTATTTACAACTCTCAGAATCCCCAACCAGCACAGCTAGTGGCCATGGTGCTCAGTGGATAGTTTCCATCTTTAGACAAACTTTTTTTTATAATAGATAAAAAAAAATTGGTTTTGAAGAGAAAGTTGGGATGAATGCAGTGCAGGTTCAAATTAGTAATATAATGGTCCAGCTAGACGGATATTGAAGTGGTCTGGTTTGCATTGAAAAGGTTCTTATCTTTAGTGTGATCTATAATATCTCCCATTTGAGCAGTCTTTCCATTTATCTTGATTGACATTTCTTCTCCTGTGAGAAGGGTCCAAACAGGTCTTTGGATCACTCCAATTTGTACCCCTTTCGGTTAATGACATTCCCTTTCCTGCCCCCTTCATCTCCTTTTCCTGCAGCTGTCATTCAATAGGCTGTGACAACTATCTTCCTCTTTTTGCTAGATAAAGTATGTGCTATAGTGAAAAAGCTATGCATCCTCAGCAATTTTGGATAGGCGTACATACTTTGTTACAAAAAATATTGCTTTGTAAGCTTCCACTACCCCCAGAACTGTTTCTATTAAGTATTATACCAGACGATATAGATAAGACAAAGAAATACTTAGTTAGAACTGTTTCTATTAAGTATTATTCCAGATGATATAGATAAGACAAAGAAATACAGTGGTGCCTCGCACAATGAGCGCCCCGCAGAGTGACGGCCCCAATGGGCGAAAATCGCAGAGCGAAGGTCGGTAAGCGGTTCGCTTACCGACCTTCGCTTTGCGACCCGCGATCAGCTGTTCCGTGGCTACAAAATGGCCGCACGCAGCGTTTTCGCGCCCTCGTAAAGCGAGGGGAGGGCGCGAAAATGGCTGCCGGCCATAGGGAAGCATCGCTGAATGGTGAGTATTCGGCCCAATTGGAACGCATTAAACCATGTTTAATGCGTTCCAATGGCTTTTCCTGCCCCGTTCAACGATGCTTTCACACAGCGAGGGTTAATCCGGAACAGATTAACCTCGCTGTGCGAGGCACCACTGTACTTAGTTATATACATAGTCACTGTAGCCACAATACTTTATGCCAAGAATTGGAAGAAATTGGTGATGCTGGAACAAGAGGAACTTATTGAGAAGATACGGGAAGCAGCAGAAATGGATATCTTATCAGAAGTGCTGAAGGACTGTCCAATACAAAAGGCAACTGAATGATGGGATTTATTATATAAATGGCTCGAGTCACCAGATAGTACTTGAATAATATAGATTACAACTAGGATGTAAATGTAAGTTATAACCCGGAGGGCAATCATATAGTAGAAAAGTGGAAAGTCGAGTTGATATGACAATATGAATAGATGGGATGGCAGTACATTTTGTGTTCTCCTCCCGTTACTTTTCCCCCCTCATATCCTTCCTTTACTTTCTGTATCCCCTACCTTATCCTAAATTGTTAATTAAAAAAAAGCTGTGCATCCACCTAGCATGGTAAACATAATACCACTAGTGTCTTCCTTTACTTTCTGTATTCCCTACCTTATCCTAAATTTAAAAAAAAAGCTGTGCATCCCCCTAGCATGGTAAACATAATACCACTAGTGTATCTCATTTATTTATAATAGCACTGCATCAATAGGAAAATATATTTTAAAAAGGTAAAATGTTGAAGTAAATGAAAATGGTTTTCCTCTCCATCATCCCTTTCAATGCCACAACTCACCCAAAGCAAAGTGTGTTGCTTATATACCATCCCATAGGACTTAAAGCACAGTTTCCAATTTAATTATGCAGGCTAATACATCACAGAGGTGTTTCCCTTCAGATAACATTGCCCACAGCGGTATCTGGGTGTGAACTAGCCATCTGCATGGGCTACAGAACAGGCTAACTGGGAGAGCTCCTAGATTGTACACAGAGAGACCGAAGCCCTAGTGCTGTGCCAGAAAGGAACAGTTCTAAAAGGGAGCGGGATGGATCACTCTTAAGTCAAAACACATGTGGATGTCGTAAATTGATTTGAACTGAACGTTGCCAAAAGCAGTCCAAATAGCAAGTTACATGCCTGCCTTGACATGCGCTAAGAATAGGAAGAGAGTGGTCCAGGCTACCAAAGAAACGGGTAGGTTCTGCTTCATGTGCAGTCATCATAGAATTAGCCCTTTGAAAAATACGTATTCTTGGCTGATAGTAATCTCTGTAAAACAGTTACATCACAGAATCCAGGGTTGTCTTTTTGTTTTACAGTTTCTGGAAAGTGCCCTTTTACTACAACAATCCCACAGAATATTTGTTAGAACTGTTCTGGGGTGGGAGAGATTAATTGTGTATGCAAACAAATCTTTCTGCATATGTAAAGAGTTCCTTATTTATGTAATACAAATCATAGAAAAGGGGCTTACCAGATCCCAGTCTTGCTGAGTACTTATATAACATTCATCATTAGAAGAGCATCTTTGTAATGCTCCTGCATAATAAAATGAATTTATCTACGGCAGACTTCTCTAGTTTGACTGCAGTTCCCACTGTCTTCTTCCCTTCCTTGGCTGTGCTGAGTGGTGGTGACAGGCGTTGTAACAGACAATATTTGGACAGCATTGTCAGTGATTCCTTTATTGTTCAAAAGCTATAGCTACAGAAGCATCTTGGGGTTCTGTACCGCCAGTGTCATCAGATCTCCCAAACGTAGAATTCAGCACTCCAGATATGCCATTGCTGACAGGGATGGGGGAAAATGGATAGGGAAGAACATCAGCATAAACAACCACATTTATGGCCTGATTGACCCAGAGATTGGAGAGGTGGTGAAGAGGGGGCTGTTGGTGTGAGGCAGAGGCCTGCCTTTTTGAGTTACTGACTTGGATCTGCTCCAGTTCTGTAGAAACTGAAAACAATCAGCCAGGACTCTGTGTTGTATATTAGAAAGAGGATTTGGATTATGGCCAAGGCCCTTTACCTCTGATGAGAGCTGAGCCAGCATTCCAAATGATATGAGTTTTTTCTCAGGCAGTTTTTTTAAAATGAAATAATGGTGGGTTATACTGTAGCAAGAATGATTAAGACAGTTGCCCCTGAATTGCTTCTGGCTTATTGGTTTTTTAACTATTATATTTATTTCTTCAAGGGAACAATTGAAAAAAAAAGCTCTGTTGTTTAAAGAATGGGTCAAAAGCCTGGGGAAAAGAAAGATTTATAATCTGAATAATGAAGTCAGGGAAGGAGAAGTGGAGGAAGAGAGCACCTGTTGTAACTACCGGATGAATTTCTTTTTGATGACTTCTCTGAGAACCTTCAGTCAGCAAAGCCATTGTAAGATTGTGGAAGTGATAGTCCAAAGAAACACCTTTACAAAGCTCTGCCGATGGGGCAGCCGATTAATATACTTTTGACTGAAGAACTGAGGTGATTTGAAGGATTGCC